TTTCCCAAGCACCTTAACAGGAAGCTGGATCAGAAAGTAGAGCAACCAGGACTTGAACTGGCACCCATGTGGGATACAAACCCTGCAAGTGGCAGTTTACCCTGCTGTGGTACTACATGGGCCCCTCTTTTGATAACTTGGAAGACAGGGCTATAGAGAAAGCGTGGTGGCTTAGCCCGCTGTTCCACAACATCTGCCTTTCAAATCCATAGATCTGGGGTGAGAGTGAGGAGCTGCCCAAAGCTCTGAGGTCTGGGGTTGTCCTGCCAGGCTCCTCCGGCAGGGCAGCAGGGTGGGGGTGGGGGTGATGCCGTGGCTCAGCCTCGCTGAATCTTCAGAGGATGAAGCCAGCCCCTGGGTGTCCGGGGGACTTGGGGAGTGGACGAAGCAGCGTAGCAGGGACCCACACGGGACCACAGGCACCCTGGGGCCTCCTCTCTCTGACACATGGCCATTTCATAGAAGAGAAGGCTGAGTCCAGGCTGCCGGAAACAGGGCTGTGACAACCACCGAGCTGCCTGATGCCCGGGAGAAGCCCACCCTGCCACATGCACAGCCAGGCCCCACCCCACGGAGGAGCATGTTTGAGCACCTACTGTGTACCAGGTCTGCACCGGAGGCCTGGCGAGTGAAGGCTGTTGTGCATAAACCAGCCCCTCCCACCCCTCCCTGCTCACCCGCCCAGCGCTGGCTCTCTGTGCTTGTCATCACTCTGGACACTCAGAAACTTCCACCTTGTGGCCTCCAGGGTCATTACCAGCCACCCTGGGAGCCACCCTGGTCAGCATTGCCTCCGCCCTCACCAGCATCCTCAGTTCCCAGGGTGCCTTGCGTGAGCCCAGATGGGCCCTGGGCTGGTCAGAAAGGAGCCCTAGCACGAGAGGGGCCTGACCCCAGGTCTCTCCTCCCGCAGCCCCTAGCCAGGGTTCTGCAGCTCCCACTCTCTTGTTGTTGGAGAAACTTCTACATGTGTGGATAATACTCGGGAGGCTCCAAGTACCTTAAATTTCACAACCCACATAGAGGCCACAGAAGCAGCCACCTGCCTGCCATTAGCCGGACAAAGCACAGACAGCCAGGGATGGGAAGAGGGGTCTGCGGGGAGCCACACCGCCCCGCTTTGCAGAGCCTCCCCACAGTCTCGAGCTGGACTGCTGACATCACATCAGAAGGCACCAATCCAGCTCTGCTTGGAAACAACACGTGGGCTGTCTTCCGCTGTCATCAGTCATGGCTGAGAACCAGATGCCCACTTCCCCCTGGGCAAAGCTTCTTCATTTTGCCACAGTCTCCACCACTCCCTGTTGTGTTCCCCTCACTTGGTCTGCTTTCTTCATTTACTCACCTGCCCAACCCCTCCCCCACCAACCCACTACTACCACTTGGGGCGCTGAAGACTGCCACTCCTGCTCTCGGCGCCTACAATGGTCAACATTTGTCAACACACAGCTCGACTGGCTTCTTTCTCCCGGTAGGAGGAAAGCAGTGTTACATTCATTTCACAGATGAGAAAGCTAGTACTCAGGAAGGCTAAGTCAGTCTCCGAGACCATGATGAGAAAGTGACCAAGCGGTGAGGCTGGGCTTGGTCACTCCAGCCCACCTGCTCCGTGTGAACAGCAGAGGGCTGGAGGTCATTTTCCGTGTTAACCAGCAAGGTCTGGGGTCATTGCAATCGTATAAACAATAGAAATTAAAAAGACCAAAGAAAAAAAAAAGATAAATAAACCCAAGCAAAGAGTGATCAACTGCTATTTCTCTCTGCCTGGCTTTTTCTTTTATAAACACCTTTCTCCTTGAGGTGTGGGGTGGGGGAAGGGCTGACAGCCCCTCTTCCCTATGGCCCTTGACTCTATGGCCATTGACGTGTAACCCGCAGCCCTGGCACTGCTTCCTTCCATCCCACAGTCTACGCAATTGGCTGCCACTGAGTCTGCAGCCAGGAGGAGGACTTGGGAGAGGGAGACCCACCTTCTCTGGGGAGCCCCCTGAGCTATAGAGCTCCCCACTCCCCCCACCCCAGCTCAGTTCCCAGGTCAGACCCTTAGCAGGTACAGCACATGGGCCTCCATCCTGAGTCCTTGAGAAAATAAGACAAGACCTGAGCCAGTACTGCAGGGAGGTGACTCATGCCCCTCCTGCCACGGACACCACGCCCACCCCCTGCCACCCTGGCACCCCGCTGACTCAGCCAGTGCACCGCTGCTGAGGGCGGGGAATTTTCTGTGTTGACACGGAATGGCCTCAGCAGATGCTGATGAATGAGCGAAATGTTCGAGCGAGCAAGCGAGCATGCTCTGAGGTGCTACAGCCAACACCGGGTCAGGTTGGAGGAACCCCAACCCAGCACGGTTCATTCCCGGTGCCCTGGGTCGGGGTCCCCCACTCCTCAGGCCCCAATTTTCTCATTGGTAACATGAGGTCTCTGGGGTGTACCTCCATGCAGCTCCACCCAGTTTTCATGTCCTTTGAAATGGCCAGCAAGTACCGCCCACAAGTTGTGGTACACAGGTCCCAGTCCCAGACAGAGAGCAGATATTTGGCCTGAGTCTGTGGCTGGCACTCAGCCCAGGCCCTTCAGTACTGCTAGCGGCAATAGTGGGGGAGATCCCTCCCCAAGTCCAGAAAGAGACACACACAGAGCCAGCTCTGCCCTCTGCCGCTTCACTCCCCAAATGACCACAATGACCAGAGCTACGCCGGATCAAACCCAGGAGCCTGGACTCCATCTGGGACTCCCATGTGGGTGCAGGGGACCAAATACCTGCCTCCTCCTCCACTGCTTTCCCAAGCCATGAGCAGGGAGCTGGTTGGGAAGTGGAGCAGCCAGGATTGAACTGGCATTTGAACTAATGTCACAGGTGTGGCTACTCCACACCATTGACCTCTACGAGAACATTTTCCAGTGCTGTAATAAGATACCCAGGAATAGCCACTGTAGGAATAAAAGAGACTCATTCCCCAGATGGCATGACACTGGCACGGGGTGAGGGTCTTCATCCCTCCCAGCAGGTGGGTCACTATAGGGGGAGGGTAGGGTGGGGACACCACCGAAGGAACCAGGATCCCGAGAGAGCTGCATTCGTGCCTGCTGATCACCTCCCACAGGCTCCGCCCCCTAAGTGAGCCAGACCAAGCACCCAGCTCCCAACTCCACCCTCAGGGTGCTGAGAGAAACCTTTCCGTGGAGATTATTGCATCCAAGTTTCTTGGAAAACAACCGTGAATTACACTTGACCTATGACAAGAGGCATGAGCCTCAAGTTCTGAGCACACTGGAGCCGAGCTGTATCTCTTCAATGACAGCTTGTAGCCATGAGCTTGCGGTAGGTGACACCCCAGAAGCTAGGGGTCAAAGCCATTGAGATGTAAGATTCTGGGGCAGGAGTCAACCATTTGAGTTCTCCATCTGGTGCCACCCAGCTGTCACTCACAGGGCTGCAACCTGGTGCCAGTCAGCCAACCCTCCCCCACCCGTGCCTCCCACCGCTCTCCCATCCTGCAGCCAGTCAGTCCATACCCATCTCGCCCTTGTCCCCAAGGAGCCCAAGACAAGTAAGAAAGCAAACGCGAAATGCAGTTGGCATCCTGAAGCTGAGAGGAACGAGCATTTATTTCACAACCATTTCTTGGCACTTTTCCCAACAAAGACAAGGCGCGGGCTACGGAATGCCTAGTGTGGTGGTTCCCCTTCTACAGGAAGGGAAATGGAGGCTTGCCGCATGCTGACAGCAGCACCAAGCCCCAGGTCCCACGCAGCAGGGCCAAGCCGCTGAGCCAGTCCCCACCACGTCCAGCTACAGCCAGGAAACAGCTGCAGGGCTGGGGCTGTGGCACCCACCTTCTCCCATCGTGGTGCCTGCCTGAGATCTGGTCTACCCTACACTCCCAACCCAGCCTCCTTCTCACGTACACCCTGAGAAGCCACAGGCAGATGCTACAAGTGTCCAAGTCCCTGCTATTCACAATGGGAGACAACGATGGATTGCCTGGCCCCTGACTTTGGCCTGGCCTAGCCTTGGCAATTACAGGTACTTGAGTGAATCAGCGGATGGATGATCTCTCTGTCTCTCCCCCAACCGCCCTCATTCTCTGTCCCTCTAATTTAAAAATAAATAGATATGGCATAGTAGGCTAAACCTCCACCTCCCATACCAACAACCCATATTGGCTCCATTCAAATCCTGACTGTTCCACTTTCCATCCAGCTTCCTGCTAATGCAACTGGGAAAACAGCAGAGGATGATCCAAATGCTTGGGTCCCTGCACCTGCATGGGAGGCTCCTGCCTTCAAACCAGTTCATTGTGGCCATTTGCGGAGTGAACCAATGGGTGACAGACCTCTCTGTCTCTCTTTCCCTCTGCAGATCTGCCTTTCTAGTAAAATAATAAAAATAAATATAAAAGAAAAAGCAAATGAATAAATCAACTAAGATGAAGAGGAACAGTTGTAGATAGATTTGAAATTTGATGCTGTTTCCTAGCAGCCCAGGATGGGGAACAGGAAAACGGAACGTATTACCCAATTGGTCACTAGACAGGAAAAAAGTCAGGCATTTGGTTAAAAGGAACCATAGCAAGCCCTTCCCAGCACTGCATAACCTTTTATCAATGGGTGTTGTCAGAGAGCTTGTGGCTGGGACACATGGCCCTGGCTAGGAGGATTAAGTTGAGTGACCCTTTGGCTTGTGTGGGAAGATGGGCAGATAAATCCCTCAGTCGATTCTTAGTGCACAACCCCCTAACGTGTGTGTGTGCACGTGTGTGCACCTGCTGTGCATGACCCTTGGCCTCACTGTCCTTCTCTTCGCCCCCTCCCCTCGTCTGTGTTACTCACTGCTGGCACCCTAAATGCAAACCTCCCCTACTGCCCGTCTGAAACCTCGCTAGTTTTAGGAAGTGCTGCTGTGTCAGGAGCCTGCAACAGAGCCCCCTGCACTCACTTCCTCCCCTCACAGAGCTGGGCGGGGCCAGCAGGAAGGGGCCTGTGGCCGTGCAGGAGACAAGTCCTCCGTCCTCCGAGGGTGAGCGGGCAACAAGCACAGCCACCTTCCCCCACCTGCACCGAGGGCTTCGTCATGAACCTGTGCCACCCAGGTAGGCACCTGGGGCCAACCCCTCCAGATCTGAGGCTTCTCTTGCGTTGGGTGGGGCAGTGGTGCCCTCTTTGCAGTATCAGTTGTGCATGAACTTGACACAGATGGGAAGGCAGCAGCAGAGCACAAACAGGAGCATTGGCAGGAGGCCCAGGCTGGGTTCCAAGGGCGAGAGCTCTTATCCCTGGGGTCCCCCTCTAGTGAGGGAGCCAGGCAGGGAAGACAGTTCCATGCCACCTGCTTGTGTCATTGTCACTACACTGCTGTGTGATAAAAAGCAGGGGAGGGATCCTGGGAAGCAGGAGTTGAGCAGGGAGAGAGCTTTCCAGGGGGAAGGAACAGTCTGTGCAAGGGCTGAGGTGGACTGGGCAAAGTGGCTGGCTGGGATGGACATGAGACCGGTGGTAACAGTACCGCTGTCCCAGAGTCAAGGATTCTGGAGGCATTTGCTGCCATCGGGGGCTGGGGGTAGCCTTCGGGATGGCTGAGGGACACCTCTTCGGGCCCCTCCTCACCCCTGGGCTATGAGCCTGGGGGAAGGCAGAGGAGAGGGTGGCAGGCTGGCAAGATGGGGGCAGAGCAAGGCCATGATTTTGGGAAGCAAGGAGAAGGTCCAGGAGAGAGACCTGGTCCCTCTACCCTGTCTCAAAATGTTCCAGAAGCTCCTTGAATTCCACTCTACAGGACCAAACCCTTGCTCTTCAATTCAACCTGATGTAGGGCAGCTGGCCCCGCCCTCAGGGAGCCCAGGGGAACATGGTGGGGAGAGCTGCCAGCCACTCCCAGTAACCCTAGTTTGTGGAACCCCACAGGGGAGGCAAAGCCAAGGTGTTCCCTGGTCCCCTGCATAGTTGTCTACCCCAGTACCTGCTTCTCTATCTTGCTGTGGCAGAAGGCGGCAACCGCCTGGTAACAGCCAGCAGGCCAGGGGCAAGCCAGCTGGGGCAGTGTGGGCTCACGGTCGCTCACGGGCATGAGGGTGAAACGGGGCACACCCCGCCTCTTGGCCCCCACCGCCTTCATCCCTGTCCCTCCCTGCAGAAAGGTGAACTGGAGGCCAAGCCTGAGTTGCCCAAGGTCATGTGGCCAGTAGGGATGAGGGCCTAGAGGAGACAGCGCCCCAGGTCAGGGGCAGGAGAGGCTCAGCGTGGGCAGCATGGGGCAGACTGAGGGGCAGGGTCTCTGACTCGCTTCCAGCCAGCCCTTGGGGCAAGTGGCTGAGTGGCAGCTGCAGGCAGTCCTTGGCTGGTGTCATTCATCCACTCTGTGCACCCTGTTCCTGCGTGCCATGCTATGCTGGGCACAGTTCAGGGGGCAGCGGTGACTCGGTCACTGGCCTAACCCTGGGTGAAGAGTGGACAGCGAGGAGGAGGCTGGTCCTGCAGGCTCTGACTTCAGCCTGAGAGGATAGGAGTAAGCAACCGTCCCCATGGGGGCAGAGGAGATCGGGGGAGACTTCTTGGAAGAGGTGGCAGGGGATTGCTACCTTGTTACTGCCTGAGCTTTAATCAGAGCTCCTCAGTGGCCGCTCTGAGTTCAGCCTGGCTGTCCTCCTCCAGGACTGATCCAGGAAGCCTGGAGAGGCAGTGGGTGGTGGACAGTAGGGGTGAGCCAGGGTTAGGGCTCTGCACAATCTGGCTCAGGGTCCAGTTCTACACCTGCCCATGGGTGGGGATGGGTCTATTCCATCTGGAAGAGTGTGGACTCAGTTTTCCATCCTTGATTTATGTCCCCAGGGTAGACACACAGGAGGTGGGAGAGCGGTGGGGCCCGATCCCAGGGGCATAAGTGGGCTGTGAGACCCACCAGCCAGGAAGCCCCGAGGTGATAAAAGGCAGCATTGAGCTGGGTGGCTGCTGGTGCAGAAGGACCCAGCTGGCCGATTAAAAATAGAGGCAGCCTCACTGGGGAAGAGGAAACCACAGAGCTGGGGTGCACGCAGCCCCCTGGTTGGCCAGTAGAACAGCCCCAGCACCGCTCACCCCCGGCAGGAACAGGACAGCTCCCCAGCGATGCCAGGATGGCCTCTCCTTGCCCCCTCAAAAGGAGAAGTGAGCCAGCTGTCCTAGCAGGGAGCTGCAGGCACAGAGCCTAGGAAAGCTAAGTTACAAAAGAGGAAGGGTGGTGGGGCCGGGGCAGTGTGAAGGAGCAGGTGGCGGTCTGGGAGGCACAGAGGGGTCAGTGGTCCAGGAGCAGGGGAAGGAAGTAACCAGGCCCTGCAGGGATGCTGTCACTGGCTCCAGAGTGTGCAAAATCTTTGTATTCTGTATTATTGCGGAAAATACCTTTCCTCAAAGTCCAATGGAACATCCAGATGTTCACAAGGGATGGGCGTTTGGAGCAGCAACAGGTTAAACACGAGTTGCAAAGGCCTGCGACACAGGGTGTAGATCCTTCCCTGGACACCCGCGTGCCAAGGTGGAACACCTCCTTCTAGCTTCAGCCCTTCCAGGCAGACCTTGGGAAGGTTACTGGGGCCCTGCTGCTCTTGGAAGAGACTTAGGAGGGGTTTCTGGGCACCTGGCTTTGACCTGACCCCTACTCCTGGGCTGTTGATGACACTTGGGAGAATGAACCAGCAGATAGAGGTTCGATTCCAGACTCCTGCATCCCATTTCCCGCCACGTACATCCTGCAAGGTGGCCGCGATGGCACTGGTAGTCTGGGTGCTGCCACCCACACGGGACACCTGCTTCCAGCTCCCAGCTCTGACTCAGGCCCCAGCCAGGGACTGCTGTGGGCATCTGGGGAGTGGACCAACAGTGAGGAAGTTTTTCTTCATCTCTCAGACAAATCAGTGACTTCAAAATGTTCATGGAAAATGGAATTAGAAGGGGAATGTATTTTAGCACAAAACATCTGACTCCCACGTATATCAGGATTGTTCAAGACAATGATGTGCATACCAGGAAGAAGCCACGGGTGCCTTGCTCAGTGTCACTTTGGCATCAAAATCAACTTATCTTTGCATTCCACAGTTCTGGAAATATTTCTTAAGTATTTATTTCTTTTCATTGGAAAGTCAGATTTACAGAGAGATGGAGGAAAAGAGAGAAAGATCTATCCTTGATTTTTCTCCCCAAAGCCAGTGCTTCTTTTGGGTCTCCCACGCAGGTACAGGGTCCCAAGGCTTTGACCATCCGCCACTTCTTTTCAAGGCCACGAACAGGGAGCTGGATGGAAAGTGGAGCTGTCAGGACACAAACCGTCACCCACATGGGTTCCTGGTGCGTGCAAGGAGAGGATTAGTCAATTGAGCCATTGCTCCAAACCCAAACATTTTGAATAGTTTGAACTGTTCAAAGAAAAATCCTGAGTTAGGAATCAATAGATAACCCACCTCTAACAGAGAGGAGAGGATGAGTTTCCACGGTGGCGATGCTTCCTGCCTCCCATCAGGTGAGACTCCTGCCAAGGCAGGCCCTGTGGTGAGGAAGAGAGAATTCAGCCCCAGCCCAGGCCACGGTCAGGAAGGGCACCGGCAGCAGGGCATCTGGCCTCTCCCGGGCTGTGTCATACATGCCAGGGCCTCTGACCCATACAGCTGCTTTTCACCATCGTGTCCATGAGGGTGACTACAACAATGAAGTGCATCTCCTCCTTCTGCCCCACCCCCCAAGCCTGTGCCAGGCACTGAGATCCCACCCTAGCCCACCCGAGAGTCACAGGTGCCACTCATGGGCCAAGTCCTTGTTGTCCTCCCTGGTCATCGGTGTCCTCAGCTCTGAAATGAGAATGTGGGTGATGGGGTGGAAGACCCTGGGGCCGGCCATGTCCGATACAGTGGCCCAGGGGTCATCAAGACTGCGCAGGGGCTCAGGTGCATTTGGCGGAGTGCCACCTGTTGGGAGAGGGTTCCCAAGGGCAGGGGACAGTGACCCACTTATTGACAGTGAGCTCCTCGCCACTCCCACGTGGTCCCACTGCCCTGGGAAGCCCTGATCTCATTGATTGTGTCTGTTGCTGGCCTCGTCCATGCCTCAGTTTCCCCAGTTCTTTCATGCTCACAGAAGGGACAAGATGCACCTGCAGGCATCACTCCTGCTGGATGCTGTCTACTGGGTCTGGATGATTTGCATGGAGACCCCAACAATGCTACCTCCCAGCTCTGCCTGCTGGTGGCTCCATTCCCACCTTGTCATGCCCAGGGCTCCAGCTGCAGGGTAACAACGGACGGGGGGGGGTTGTTTGTTTGTTTTTGTTATTGTTTTTGTTTTGCCAAGCTGGTGTCTGGATCCACACAGAGACAGTGGCCAGTCGGAGCCTGGGGCACACCGGCCTCCAGGCTCACAATGGGCGCTTCAGCCTACACTGTCCACCCTGGAGCGCTATACAGCTTGGTCACTGGACTCCACAGGCCCCTCAGGAATGCTGAGAGCAGTGGGAAGGAGACAGGAGCGGGGATGCTACAGCTAGCCAGAGAGGAGGAGAAGGCTGGGGAATCCCAGCACAGGGAGCAGCAGATGCAGAGGTCTGGGCGACCATGGAGGCAGAGCACAGCTTATCCTTGTGGCTTCATGCTGCCTCCTTGCCACAGCCAGGGGACAGCCCCCAGCAGGGTCCATCCCTGCTCACCCCAGATGGTAAGAGGATCCCCCTGTGCTGGGACAGAGACCAGGCTTCAGTGGCATCCTCCCTTCTGGACTGTGTGACCTTGGGGCAGTGGTTTAGCCTTTCTGAGCTTAATGACACCTACTGCAGGTGGGGTGAGGATGAAAGGACCTCAGGGAGCAGGAGGCGCTGCCTGGCAGAGGTGGCTGTGCTTCCCACATCTGGAGGCTCTGGCAGATACACATTGGAAAGATATTTGTTGGAAAGGAAGATACACAGGGAGAAGGAGAGATAGAGAGGAAGCTCTTCTATCCAATGATTCACTCCCCAAGTGGCCCACAACGGCCAGAGCTGAGCCGATCCGAAGCCAGGAGCCAGAAACTTCTTCTGGGTCTCCCTTGGTGCAGGACCCTAACGCATTGGGCCTTCCTCGACTGCTTTCTCAGGCCACAAGCAGGGAGCTGGATGGGAAGTGGGGACTCTGGGGTTAGAATCGGCACTGATATGAGATCCCCGCACGTTCAAGGCGCGGACTTCAGCCACTAGCTACCGCACCGGGCCCCATCAATTATTTCTGTAATGGTATCTTAAGATGAAAGAGAACCCAGGAGGTATCAGCGCCAGCCATGGGTGTTTCCTTGAGGGATTACGCTGTGCCCAGGCTCCTTGAGGGTGCTGGGGCAGCGCTCTGAGCTGATAGCGACACCAGTGACCGACAAGAAGGACAGGTCTGCCAGCCACACCTGCAGGAGTCCTTTTTGGGGTGCTAGGAAGGCAAGTGGTCAGGGACAGCTTCTTGGAGGAGGTGATCTAAGCCGAGGCAAGTTGTGAGGCCCTGGAGGTGAGGGCAGCCAGCCAGGTGGCACAGAGAGTCCTTCCCCCTCCAGAGCCGGAGGAGCTGAGCAGCGGGGAGGCAGAGGAGCTACAGCGTATCAGATGGCACCGGAAGCAGCTGCTGGAGGACATCCAGGTGTGTATCCACGCCCATGCCCACGCTCATGCCCCAGGACATGTTGAGGCCTCCACACCCAGTCCAGATCCCTGGACCAACCTTCACAGCTGCTCGGCCAGAGCCCCAGTCCTTGGGAGAAGAGGGCAGGTGTAGGACCTCCCCCAACCTCCACCACAGCCATGCCCAGGCCTGGGCTCAGCTGCCAGATCCCCAGAGAGGACCCAGGGCACAGTGCAGGTGCTCGAGTCAAGGATCAGCTTGACTCGAGCTGATCCTTGAGGGGAGGAGGCCACTCCATGACTGGGCCATAAGCACAAAGGAGTTGCCAGACCCCTCTGTGGATCCTGAGTCCAGGAGAAGCCCCCAGGATGCCCCACAGCCAGCACTCCTGAGGGCCCTGGGGCATTTGCCAGATGCAAGGAGCGAGGGCACTAGGGAGCCCTGGGGCAAAATGTGGGTAGGGTCTGAGCTGGGCTCCAGAAAGTCAGCAGCAGATGGAGCAGGGCTTAACAGGGGAGAGACAAGAACAGATGGAGGGCCTCTCAGGACAAGAACAGGTGGAGGGATGGGCGCCTACAGAAGTCGGGGAGCCTGGCCTGGGACTGGAGGGTAGGAGGCATCCGGGAAGGGCCCGGGTCCCTTGGACTGCAGATCCCAGATGGAGGCGAGGGATGGGGCTCAGGCCTGGACTCAATGCCGCTCACATCCCCTCCCGGGCCTCTCACACCTACAGAAGCTGAAAGATGAAATTACTGAAGTGTTTGCCCAGATCGACTGCTTCGAGAGCGTGGAAGAGAGGTGAGGGAGGCATGTGGGACCCTGCCACAGGTTAGCAGGGTCCCTATGGCATCATGTAGGAGGTAGCTAGGGCCCTGGGGACATCAGAATGGCCTGAGAGAAGGAGACAGCAGCAGGGAGGCAGGGGCAGGGTGGCCAGTCCCACCTGATTAGCTTCCTGCTCCCAAAACCACCCCCATTCTCCAACTGCTACACGCCCCCCACACACATGCGCATTCATACACACACACACATGAGCCTGTGTCTCCAACCACAACAACCACAACAACCACAGCAGCATAACCCCAGAGCACCCACTGCCAGCTCTCACAGTGCTGCGGGGTGGCAGCAGCTGGGGCTGTCACCCCCATTTTATAGGTGAGCAAACTGAGGCCCAGAGAGGAAGTGACTCACCCAGAAACTGGAGCCTGGCACACCACCCACCCTCCCCCATATCAACTCCCCAACAGGCCCCTCTAAATGCTGTCCCATTGGCTGGGACTCCACATTTCTCTCCCTGCCCCGGGTACCCCCACCAGTCCCTGAGGCAGGAAATCTACACTTTAGTGGGGGAAGAATCCTGCAAAGGGTCGGGGGATGGATAGGGCCGCAGGTGGTCCAGCAGCTCAGGTGACAGGCTCCCGTCCACAGCCGCCTGGCACAGAAGGAGAAGGAGTTGGGCGTGGGGCGTAAGAAGTTCAACATGGACCCCATGAAGGTAGGTGGCCGGGGAAGGGGACAGGCATCCCACCCAGTGCCCCAGGGTGGGAGAGACTGGGATGGGGGCTCCGTGCCCACACCTCGGGCCACCCCAGCTCTACCCTGGGCTTCCTCGCCCTCCTCTGTGACCAGGGCTGTGGATGCTAGAGCCCTCAGAGCCCCCGGCTCAGCCCCCAGAAAGGTGCGGGCAGCTGGTCCCACAGTCCCACTCCTGTCCTGTCTGCTGGCCTGGAGCACTGGAATGAGGGCTGGGCTCCCCCAGTCTCTGCCCCCCACACCCCTCCCCACTTCCTACAGAGACAGACACGCAGACTACGATGCCCACCTCTGCCCATTACAGTCCAGAGCGGCCCACACAGACCTCTACCCACCTATAGGGACCCACGCCTTCCCCTGCCACATCATCCAAGCAGGGTGTAGAGGGCAGCTGGAGCCACTCTTGTTTCTTTTTTTCTTTTTTCTTTTTTTTTTTTTTTTAATTTTTGTTTTCTAGAAAGGAAGGGCTACATGGAAGCTTCAACCCCCGACGGGGAGGGCTCTGACAACTTCCGCTCTTTTGGGTTTAATTGGACTTTTTCCCCTTAACTTTTACACAATAGACATAAATTCCATGTGCAACAAAGTGAAACTCTATTTTTAAGTCCTGGAAGTTACAGGGGAACAAAAGGAACGGCTGATTCACTGAATCTCGGGATTCTGGATGCGGAGGCCGAAGCATGTAATCAAGAATGCCAGACTATGGGGCGCCTCACAGAGCACCTGGGGGAGCCCGGTGCATGGCAGCCACTCCAAGCTTCTTACATGCCCCCTGGGATGGGGAACTCACCCCCTCACAGAGGGAACACAATGTCCCAGAGCAGGCAGTGCCCACCGCCAGGATGTCCGGCACGCCACCTGCTCCTCCCCACCAGCCCTGTGGTGGTGGCACAGGTCGCTCACGAACTCCATGTCCCATCTGCCAGGGTATCCAATATCTCACAGAGCACAAGCTGCTGCCACCCACCGCCCAGGACATTGCCCAGTTCCTGTACAAGGGCGAAGGCCTCAACAAGACGGCTATTGGCAACTACCTGGGGGAAAGGTGAGTGGTCGGGCCTTGGGAGGCAGCAAATGAGAATGTGCAGGGTGTGTGTGTGACTCCTTAGGGCTTGAGGGACCATCATTTGTGCATTTATTACGCCCTGAATTCACACGAGTGAACGAGACAGACAAAATTCCTACCATGTCGACCATGTTCATAAACGATACAGTCTGAGGTGTAAAGGAAGCAGGGGCTGGAGCTCAGAATGTGGGGGCCTGAGGATGGGGGTGCAAGTGGGAGAGATGTGATCTCAAACAGGGACCTCCTGGGAAAGGTGAAACTTGAAGCAGGGGCTGGGGGGAGGGCCTGGGCAACACAGACATCAGGGAAGAACGCAGAGATGGCAGGGACAGTCAGTGCAAAGGCCCTGGGGTACAAGCAGCTCAGGCCACAGCACGCTGCTGAGACTGGAAGCAAGTGAGAGAGGGGTGAGGTGGAAGCCATGTGAAGGGACTGGGCAGGGCAGGGGCTAACACGGCTGGGAGCCAGGACCTGGCCTGGAAGGGACAGGGGTGCAGCTGGGTTGGCCAGCCAGGGGCCCTTCTCACCAGCTTGCCACATCCCTGCCTGGGCAGACTGGAAGACTGGGAATATGACTGGTGAGTTCAGAGCTGGAAGAGGGAACAGGTAGGGGAGGCCCATTTCTACCTGTTATACAGATGAGCAAAGCAGGGCTCAAGGAGTTCCTGCGGCTTGAATGGGATCACTCAAGCCAGAGGTTTTTACTCAGGACAGGCCAGAGAGCACCCCTGTTGGGTAAGATCAAAGCTGGAGGAGGGGGCGTGCAGTGTGCACACGCGTGTATGGATGTGTGCATGTGGGAAGGCAGGGCTGTGCCCTTGGCAGTGTGCCGGGGACAGGCCTGACATGAGTGGACCAGTCGGTGGTCAGAGCCCAGAAGGACAGAAGCCCGAATCCTCCTCGCCTTCCTCACCTACATGCAGGAAGTGGGTGTCAGCAGGTTCCCCAAATGTGCCCTCCCGTCTCCCTTCTCTCCAGGGACCCCCTCAACCTGCAGGTGCTCCAGGCCTTCGTAGACTGCCACGAGTTTGCCAATCTCAACCTGGTCCAGGCCCTCAGGTGAGCAGCTCTTGTGGAGTAGGGGGCACCAATGGCAGGGGAGGTGAGGGAGCTGGGAGTGACATCACGAGCCGCACAGCCGGGAAGCACCCACAAAGGGCGGGAGCCAAGGGGAGGAAGCGAGAAGCAGGGTTCGTGAGCGGGTGGTGGCAATTAGCTCACTTGGGCATGCAGGTGCACTTCCTGGTCCCGGGTGCGGCACCTGGCCCATTGCTTCCTACCGTCAGCTGCATCACCACCATTCTACTGCTTTCGGGACCCATGCTGATCTTACTCGTTTCCTCAATCTAGCCTGGTGCACCCCGCTACCTGTACGAGTGTTTAGTGCTCTCTGCTTAAGAGTAGTCAGGAGCCCAGACAGTACACTGCAGAAGCTGGCTCTGTCACCTAGCCACTGTGTGACAATCACCAGTCTGTGCCTCGGTCTCCTCTCGTGTGACATGTGGCCCTGGTATCCCCAGGGACACAGTAGAACGTGCTGCCACCTGCGGGCCTGGCGCTTGCTCAGACGAGGAGCCCCCCACTCCTCCTGCCCCCATCCAAAGGACAGAGAGGCAGTGGCTGGGCAGGACCGGGTGGCTTGGCTGCGGTGGCCCTGAGCCTCTTGTCCTCCACCCCCCAGGCAGTTTCTGTGGAGCTTCCGGCTGCCCGGTGAAGCCCAAAAAATTGACCGCATGATGGAGGCCTTCGCCGCCCGCTACTGCCTCTGCAACCCAGGCGTCTTCCAGTCAGCAGGTGCAAAGCCTGGGAGGTGCCCCGCCCCTGCCCCTTAGGCTGCCATCTGGAAGCTCAGGCCTTTTGCTGAGTGCCCACCTGGCTCAGGTGCCTCAGGATGGGATGTTTTGGAGGGGAGGGAGCTGGGAACAAGGGCCCAGGGCACTTAGGCCACGGGGGATGCAGGGAGCCAGCTGGTCCAGGATGGCTTTTTCCAGATTGTAGGGTCTGAATAGGGTTTTGAGGCATGACTAGGAGTCCTCCAGGACACTCAAGGGAGAGAAGGGCCTTTGGGGCAGGGATTTCAGTCTACATTACTATTTACTTAGATTTTGTTGTTTTTAAATGTATTTGAAAGGTAAAAACCATAGTTAGTTTCCAAATGCCAGCAACAGCCTGGTGGTGGAGGCGGGGGACAGGGAACCAGTCCGGAGCCTGGAATTGAACCCAGGCCTCATGGGGTTGAGAGACCCGATACTTGCACCTGCTGCCTTCCGGGCAGCTGCAGGAGGAAGCAGAGCCAGAACTTCCACCAGGCGGGCAGCCCAAGCTGTCTCCTCCCCCGGGATCATACGCTGGCTGGCTCCAGGAGTTCAGTTCAAACAAAGGCACAGAGCATAGAAAGGCAGTACGGAGTGGCCGGAGGGGTGCAGAAGCAGGTCCATGAAGTCCAGGCCCCACACCCTTCCTCCCAGGCTGACCTTGGAAGCCAGCCCACTCCCGCCCCTCCCTCTGCACTGGCCTCTTCTCTCAGCCCACACTTAGCCTACTCGCAACAACCAGCAGGCCCCGGGGGATGGGGGGCAGGGGTAGGGCGAACCAAGTGCTTGCTTTACGCAAGCCAAGTCCTTGCACCCCAAGGATGGTGATGGTTGGCCCAACCACTAGGGGGAGCACAGCCCACAGATGTGCAAGGAACAGGACACACACACACACACACACACACACACACACACACACAGATATAGAACAGATACCCCAGCACAGAGAGGTGATGCCGCCCACCACCCCTGCCCTGGGCTGTGCCAGGAACCGTGCAGTGGAGAGCATGCCCGTCCCTGTGGCTCTCCTCCTAGTCATTGCTGTTTTTACTCCTTTCCTCTCAGCTTTTTGAGTCTTAGTGTCCCACGAGGGCAGAGAACATGTGCTAGCTGCTGACCAGGGCCCTGTCCCCAACACAGAAGGGGAGGCACAGTGGAAGGGCAGTGTCCTTGGGCATGTGGCTTCCCTGCCTCGATTTCCCCATCTGTTAAGTGGGATTGCCAGCAGCACCTGCCTCATTGGCTGCCACAGCGCTCGGCTGCAGGGTTGAACTTCAAAGTTTAACCTCCTTGTGTCACAGATGGGGACGCCGAAGCTCAGGGAGGGTAATGCTTGCCAAGGCCTATGTTGGGGGGCGTAGTACTTCTCAAGGCCAGCCGGACCCTGGCTCCGGACCCCAGAACTAGGTACCCCTCCAAAGATCAACACGGCACTTGCCTCAGTCAGTCTAGCCTCCCACCCTGGCACGGGAAATCTGACTCATGCAGCTGGAGTCCCTGCCAGCTGCGAGCTTCTAAGCGGCACGTGATGCACACACTGAGTGTGCCAACAATGAGTGTTCCCTGCTCCGAGGAGGCAGCCAAGAACAGAGTGGGCCGGGGGGCCGGCCCAGCCCGGCGGGAGGGGGCTTCAACCAGAACTGAGGAGGAGGAAGATTTCAATGAGTAAAAAGGGCAGGGGCGGGTGTGCCCGGCAGGGGCCCAGCATCAGCACAGGCGAGGGTGGCGAGGCAGGGGGCCCTGCGACAGCCCAAGTTGGAAGTGAGAGTGGGGAGGAGGAGGGGAAAGAGGGGGGCCAGGGCCTTTTGCGCCCTCTCGGAGGAAGGGGAGCGTGTCCAGGGGCCAGCACGGTGACCCGCTGTCCACCCGCAGACACCTGCTACGTGCTGTCCTTCTCCGTCATCATGCTGAACACCAGCCTGCACAACCCCAACGTCCGTGACAGGCCACCCTTCGAGCGCTTCGTGGCCATGAACCGGGGCATCAACGGAGGCAGCGACCTGCCAGAGGAGCAGCTTCGGGTGAGAGGGGTGGGCGGGCCCACAGGCCTGCTCCCTGGCTGTCTGCTGCAGAGAGCTGTGCCCCAGGCAGTTGACCACGTGGGGAAGGACCATCAGCGAGAGGGTGGTTTGGAAAGGGTCTTTTCAAGGTGGTGGTGATGACGTGTTACTCCTCTCCCAACACATACACACCTCCTCCTGGAAGCCCTCCCAGATTGAAACCTCTAGGATCTCATCCCCCCCAAAAAAGATCTGCAACAGCCTGTGTCCCTGTTCCCCCTGAGAAGAGTGGAGCCTGAGGCCCTCATGAAGCACAGGGACAGAGCAGCACCCAAGTGCCCAAGGCCTCCTGAATCCGCCCCACTCCGTCTCATTGTGCCAGGTCCTGTGCCCAGCCAAGGGCTGTGGGGGGTGACTCAGCCACAAGGCTGTGCCCCTCCAAAGTTCCCAGTCTGGGAAGAAGGTGACATAGGCATGTGTCACAGGCCTGAGGAATCCTGCCACGCTGACCACAGCCACGTGGCTCTGAAGGCACAGAGAATGGTGCCATTGCCTCCCCCGACCCCACCACCAGCAGTCAGGGAGAGAGTGTCACCCTGGAGGGCTCCATGGAGGAGGTGGCTTCTGAATGGGGCCTTGAAGATAGCATAAGAGTGTTCCCAGGGGAGCGGCAAGGATGGAACTTTCCTGGTTGGCTGAGGGGCATGTGTCCGGGGCTCCCGAACATGGCATGGGGACTGGGCTCACTTCCTACCTGGGAGCAGTTGTGAGCACGAGAAGGGGAGGGACAGAGAGCCTGGCTTAGCCAATGTAAGTTAACAGCTCCTGACCCTGCCCAGCTCAGCACCCTGCATCCGCCTACCCTCAGAGTCAGCGGCAGCACGGTGTGCCTGGATCTGCAATGATCCTGTGCCCTTTGGTAGCAGTTTGAGAACCATCCCCCAACCCCTTAGCCCTCTGCCCACCCGGGCCATGCAGGTGAGGGCTTGAGAACAGCTTCGAGTTCAGACCAAATCCCACGAGCCCTTTGACCCCTGATGACCTTGAGGTAACTTCGGGGTGACTCATCCAGGGCCCAGCCACTGTTCCCACACCATGGCGAGCAGGCACCAGAAAGGCCATGTGTCACACGGCTGGCTGCTGAACGTGGCGACTTTTCTAGACGTGCAGGGCAGAGCCTGAGCCAGCTGCAGAGCGGCGCTTGTCACTGTGAAGCACAGTTAATTGTGAATGAACCTCGGCACCAGACCCGGTACACTTGTGGTCATGACAGGCTCCCGAGATGGCAACAGGAGCCAGGCATTCCTTATCCAGCAGAACCTCCCCTAAGGCTCGCTCTGCCCCATCTCCTAGGCCAGACAGCCCTGCCATCGGCCCGCAGTGGGCCTGCAGCTACCATGTCTCTGGCCTCTGCTGTTCCTCCAATCTGAGCCCTTTGCCACTGACGTCGCGAGGCCTTCGTGTGGCACTTGTAACTTTCTTCTGCCGGGGTCTGGCTCTACTATCTCTATGGAAGCCTCCCCCTCTGCCTGCGATGCTGGTGCTGCAAAGGGCTCCTTCTCCACCTGGACAGCCCAGAGAGGGTGGCACTGTGTAAGGGGAACCACGCCCAGCCCTGAGGACCCAACTTTCGGGCTGTGAGATGTTAGGAAAGTAGTGGCTTCGCCTCTCTGAGCTCCCAGCGCACAGGATGAGGGCAGCTGAGACGTTCCCTAGCTGCCCCAGCACAGAGCATGGAAACCTGGCAAGCCGGGGCTGTGCATGCATTTGGGGAGCAGGGAGAGTCTCCCCTCTCTGCTGGACCCCATGGTCCCCACTCTTTCTAAGATTTATTTTGTATGTATTAGAAAATCTTCATCTGCTGGTTCATTAATGGCCAAGGCTGGTCTAGATCAAAGTCAGGAGCTGCTTCCAGGTCTCCCATGTGGGTGCAGGGCCCAGGTGCTTGGACCGTCCTCTGCTGCTTTCCCAGGTGCATTAGCAGGGAGCTGGATCAGAAGTGGAGCAATCAGGACTCAAACTGGCACCCGTATGGGATGCCGTTTGTCGTCACAGCAGAGCTTGTTCCACTTCCCCCATGTCTGAATCAGGGACTCAGCACCTTGGAGCCTCAAAGCTCCTTGCTCTGCCGAAGGATTCTCTGTCCTGTCCAGGTGGAAAACAGGCCACGCATTAATAGGGTCCAACTCTCCAAACCTGATCAGTACGGATCTATGAGCTTAAAAGAGTCCGCCCCGAGGGCAGACAGATCTGAAGGGTGGCAGCAGAGTGGGGGTGGGCTGAGCTAGTGCTGCCCTGTGCAGTGCCAGTTCGGGTGTAGCTGTCGGTGCATTGACTGGTATAGATGCGTGGCTGTGGGCTCTGGCCTCAGCATTCTCATCCAGAAGTGGGTTAGTACCAAGTGCACACTGAGCTCACTGTGTACTTGGTGGTTCAAGGAGGAAGACCAAGCCTTGAGAGGGCTGCCAGGAGAGGAAGCCAGGGTGCAGGTGGGGAAACTGAGGCCCAGGCGGGGAGTTCCCCCTTTCCTCTGCCCCAAACTAGCATCTCCAGCTCCAGGCAGTCCTGGACCTCCAGGACGCTCTTACAAGGTCAGAATGAACCTTGCCTCAGAATGAACATGGCCGCCTCTCCCCAGTCCCAAGCGAGGACACAGCACTCCAGAAGAGGTGGAATTGGAAAGCAGACCAAGTTGACCCGTAGCCTGGAAGGCAGGTTTCAGAGACAACCACAGCTGACTTCCTGGCAGGAGGACTCTCAAGTCCAGCCACCAGGACACTCAGGATCAATTTGCCTTTATACTTCTGGCTTCAGGATCAACTTGATGCAGGCGCTCAGCGATGCCGGTGCTCTATATCTCACGGCCCCCTTGTGTCTGTGTTGGGGCAGAAAAGACTGGGGAAGCTCCAGGCTGTCAACTTACCTAGCAGACCTCTAATCAAAAATCAGAATTAAAGCTTCTGGGCTGGCTGGGTTCCTATGTCCCTGCTGGAAGCAGATATTGAAGTCAGCAGGGAGACGGGCTTCCAGCAATCTCCCTATCTGAGCTTCTTCCCAACACTGGAACCTGGGGATGAGAAGTGGCAGGGATGGGGTGGGATAGAAAGGAAAGAAGAGGTGATTTGGGGATGTCCCCAGAAAGTCTGAGGAGGTGGGGATGAAAGGTGCAGACGCCCAGTGTGGGGGGAGGGGGGCTGGGGGACCAGCATGCAGGGTGTCAGCCAACCACACGGCTGCTGTTGACCATGCAGGAGACACTTCGGGGGGCTTGTGGGGGAAGAATGTGCAGCAGACACGGTGGCTGCAGGAGCTGCTGGGGCCCCGGTGGCTTTGGGGGAGCCGAAGTCCCCTGCCCACTTCCTTTGGCTTTGCAGATGTTGGCCTGTGCCGGAAGCTGGGCTGAGGAGCCCCAGCCCTTGTTCAGCCCACCAGAGCCACCTGGGAATTCCCAGGGTGAGGCTGGACCCCAGGGCAGGAGTCAGGGACTAGAGAGAGAGGTGCAGGGGGCGGGGGGCTTCTGTTTGTTCCTCCCCCAACCAGAGCCAAACTGGCTGCAAGGCCCCCTCCAGCAGGCCCGGGAGACCCCATTCACAACCAGCTGCCCAGAAGCCACCGGTTCTCCAGCTTCGGAAGAACCAGATGACCCTGCTCAAGGTCCTGCAGGCGTCCTCGGCAGCAGCAGGTCTGGCTTGACTTAGCTGAGCCAGACAGTTTGGCACGTGGGGCTCTAGGCAGATGCTCTGTGGAGTCCAGGTCTAGGTATCCAGCCATGCAGGGCCCAGGGACATAATGCGATACCAGCGTCCACCTCTAGTCCCCAGAGAGGCCCACCAGCTTGAGCACCTCCAGTGACAAGGAGCTCATCCCCTACAAGGTATGATTCAGTAGCTCTTACTCCAGAAAGTTCCCCCAAGGAGAACTGAAATTGGCTTCCTGGAGGCGTCCCCCACACTCACGCCTCCCGGGCAGAGCCCAGCCAGACAACTCCCGTGGGAGAGGGACCTTTAAGAGCCACAGACAATAGCCCACCCTGGCCTCTGCTTTTAAAAGGCCCATGCTCTGGGCCCTGGCAGGTGCTCTGTGCAGCCCTGTGCCACGGAGCACCAGGACAGTCCAGTGGTTGGTCTCTAAGCAGGAGAGGGACTCCTTCCCATGAGTATAATTGGGAGTCCCTGACCCTCAATACATGTGAGCGTGCATGTGTGTGCATATGTGCATATGCATGTGGCATATATGCATATGCATGAGGTCTTATGCATGCCTTACATTATTTCCATGCTTGTATGTGGGCACTGACTTGTGTGTGTACATGTTGTATGTGCATATACATGTGGCAAATATGCTTATGCATGTGGCATCAACTTGTATGTTCAAATGCACATGTGTGTGTTGCATACACATGTGTGTGCGTGACATGGAAATGTGTGTGTGTGGCTTACACGTATGTGAGAGTATATGGGTGTGAGGTGCTGACTTGGGTTTGCTCTGCCCCGCTGTGGCACAGGGGAGGGAAGCTTGTTCTGGCACAGGGGTGCAGGCCAGCTGTGTTTGCAAGGAGCCAAGCAGGGAGGCTTGGGTGAAAGAGCTTGGGGACAAGGAAGGGGTTTGCCCAGAGTGGGATGGGAGCAGCCTGACCGAGGCCCCCGAGACTCAAGGCCGGGCCCCTCTCCCTCTCTCTGGGCAGAACCTCTTCGACAGCATCAAGAGTGAACCCTTCTCAATTCCGGAAGATGATGGTAATGACCTTACTCACACCTTCTTCAACCCGGACCGTGAGGGCTGGCTGCTCAAACTGGGTGAGGCTACTGGGTATGCACTAGCCCATGGACACAGGCATACGGCTGACTCACACACACACTCCCTGCAGCCTCGGGTGGAGTGGAGACCGTGTCAGGCCTCCTGACCCTGCTGCAGCTAGCTGTCTGCCTGCCCCAGCCTCCCATCCACCCATGCACAGAACAGGAGAGGTGGGGCTGTTCTAGCAGTGGGGAGCGCAGGGGCAGCTGGGAGCAGGTGCAGTCTGCTTGCTCTCCCCAGAGGGGTGGGGACCAGGGGGTGTTGGGGGGATTCAGGGCAGGCAACCTTGCTCAGAACCTATAGTGTGCAGCAGGGGCTGGGTCCACACACCTGGACTTTCCCGGCAATGCCCCAGGCCACACAGCCTGCAAGTGGCAGCTGTAGGCAAAGGGGACTGGAGGAGGGCTGGAGTGCGACAGGATGTGGCTGATGGAGCTGCTGAGGCCACAGCTGCCAAATCTAACAGGAGAGCTACCCCACACACCACCACCCCTACATCCACTCCCGGAAGCTCACCCTGTGGGGGGGGGGGAGTGGGTGTGGCCTTCCTGGGCTGGTAAGAAGCCCTGCCTTGCCCTGAGCAGCTTCCAGAGCTGCTGAATGACACACACAGGGGCAGGTGCCCCTCAACTGTCCCCAGGGCCCTCCGTTCTCCGGTGTACAACCCACACACCTGCCCTGATCCCTACAGGCTCTAAGTCACAGCCCCAGGTTGAAACTGCACCATCTGCCCTCCTCATATGGGGAGTTGGGTACCCTCAGCTCCAGTTTCTGGCTCTCTAAGCTGGGGACTGGGTCCCCAAGGGGCCGAGTACATGGCAGCAGAATGGTCCAAGAACTTGGGCTCTGACACAAGGAGACTGGGCTTGAGTGGCAAGAACTACAGCGGCTCTGCTGCGGGAGCAGACGTAGCAGCCATGCCACTCCTCGGCCTTCTCATCTGAGAAATGGACTTGATCATAATCCCTTTCTCAGGAGGTAGCCACAGGGATGGGTAAACAAATGAGTCTCAAACCTCAGAGCTCTTGGCTTCGCGGCCAGGGGAGGGCGGAGGGCTCAGCCCAGTGCCTGGCAGGGAGCAGGCTGCAGGACAAGCCAGATGTGGAGACAACAGCCACTGTCCCCAGGATCCTTAGGAACCCTGGCACAGGCCGGCCCAGGAGGGCAAACAGCTCAGAAGAAATCCCGGACACAGGGGGGTGTGGGGGGAGCAGCAGGGTTCCACAGGTGACGGGGGGAGGTGGAGCATCAGAGGCCCTCGGGAAGGGGGGGGCTCATCTGCGCCGTTGGCCCTTGCAGGGGGCCGCGTGAAGACCTGGAAACGGCGCTGGTTCATCCTGACTGACAACTGCCTCTACTACTTCGAGTTCACCACGGTGAGCCTCTGTCGCCCCCACACCCACTCCTCCCCCAACTGGCCCATGAAGCAGTCGCCTCCACCCTCCCTGCCCCAGAGCTGGGGACACCTTAGAGATTCTGTAGTTTACTTCCTCGGCCATTTTACAGATGGGGAAAACTGAGGAACGAGGGGAAATGGGGCTGAGTTAATTCCATCCCATGTGCCCCCTGCTGGACAGTCTCAGAAATGGGCACACTTGGGGGTGGGGGTCGGAATCTGGGAAATGTCGCAGCCTTGGCCTTCAATTTGACACTCCATCGGCCAACCTCTCATGTCCCCGCACCTCCTTCCCACAGGACAAGGAGCCACGGGGGATCATCCCCCTGGAGAACCTCTCAGTGCAGCCTGTGGACGACCCCAAGAAGCCAGTGGGTGCTGGGCCCCAGTAGTGGAGGGGGGTCTAATGGCTGGGCTGGGCTCTCCAGGAGGGAGACTGGGCTGTGCCCACCATGCCCTCTACATGGGGCCAGGGACCCTGGGCACAACTCAGTGTCAGCATGGTCCCTGCTGTCTCACAGAGCCTGACTGTGACACCGTTGGGTGACCTTGAGAGGTTACACATCCCCTCCCTCCTGTTTCCTCTTTGGCCCCACGGGAAGGGTGGTTTGGGTGCAGCCCAGTGCAGAGTAAGAACTTGGCGTGGCACAGAGCCGCTCCTGCCTTTCCCTGGCCAACGGGGAAGCAGTTCATTGGGGTGGGGTCCCCTGCACCCCGTTGAGGCCCTGCCTTCACCCAGTCACACCCTGACCCGCAGTTCTGCTTGGAGCTCTACAACCCCAGCTGCCGGGGCCAGAAAATCAAAGCCTGCAAGACGGACGGCGACGGCAAGGTGGTGGAGGGCAAGCACGAGTCCTACCGCATCTCAGCCTCCAGCGCCGAGGAGCGCGACCAATGGATCGAGGCCATCCGGTAAGGGGCGGCGAGGCCGGGGCGCAGCACTGCAGCACCTTCCAGAACTCAAACACAGGACATGCTGTAAAGAAGGCTAGCCCCAAATGTCCCTCCTAGTTTAAGCACAAAGAACCCTGCCACTCAACCCACATGCCATGGGCCCTGCCAGGTCCTAAGACCTGAGGTTAGAAGGGTTACAGACCAGTGTCCTGGAGCAGGTGGGAGGCCAGAAGCCCTGACCCTGAATCCACACCTGTGGATGTGGAGGGAGAGGTGCCTCCAGAGGAGGACGGCCATGGGCAGGCTCAGGGGCCGGCTTACCTGGACAGTACCCCTCAGAGAGCAGGAGAGATTGGCTAGTGGCAGGTGAGGCTGCCCAGCGTGGCTGGCAAGGCATAGTCACGTGGGAATGAGCTTCAGTTCCTCCAGAGGGCGCCAGGGAGTCACAGACCAGGGCGCCAGGGATACACAGGGGAGGGGTGTGGCCAGGCCAGGCGCTGGAGGGACAAGGCTTTTCCTCAGCATCCCATTGAGAGATGCTGTGGTGCCCACCACCCCCAGGGAAGGAACACAGACTCACTCCCATCCTGGCTTTGAGGGACGACCTTGGCCAGGTTGATAACTGCCAGCCAGTGGCGGTAACCCAATGACTCCCAAGATCTTTTCATCCAGGAGGCTTTGCAACACCCCTGAGGGGTTTCTGGGCCAGGTCCCTTCTCCACTCCATTCAACAGATGAGAAAGTTGAGGCCCAGAGAGGGTACAGATCTGCCTAGGGCCTCCCCGCCCGTAAGGGACAGCTGGATGCAGCAGGCAGGACGCAGAAGAGAGAGGTCCAGACACGTGGGAGCAGGATTCCCTGTGTTTCTGCTTCTGATCTGGGGTCTCCACCTCACGTGGCAACCTGGGCAGAGTGACCAAGGCTTGACTCACCCTAGCTTGGTCCCTGCTGAGGACAGCTGGCCTTTGCCCAGCCATGGAACAACGCCACGCTTCCCTGGGGGTCCCCTGCCCTTGATTCTGACCCCGTGGCGGTCAGCCCAGACCCGACACCTTCCTTTCTGCTCTCATTACAGAGCCAGCATCACCCGCGTCCCCTTCTATGACCTGGTCTCTGCTCGGAAGAAAAAGATCACCAGCAAGCAGTGAGCCTCCTGGGAGGTGGCGCTGAGGGCCAGCCCCTGTGACACCTCCACATCTCCCCTGTGGGACCTCCCACTCTAGCGCACCTGTCCTGGCCACTGATCTGCACTACCTTGAGCTGACTGTAGGGGACGCAGGACTTGAGCCCCAGCCACCTCCAAAGGAGGTTTGAGAAGGCCTCTGTCGGAAGCAGCCAGGTCAGCAGCCAGAGCAAGCCACGCCATGGCCAGTGCCATGCTCCCCCTGGGGTCTGATTTTCCATCTCACAGCTCTCTGCCCTCAAATCAGGAGGGAACGTGAGGTCCCTGAGCGCTTTCTGCCTCCTGCTCCTTCCCTTCCACCTGCTCAGGCCATCCCAGTATCCCCTCTCCAGCCTGGCCCTCTTTGCCAGAGCTGGACCCAAACCAAGAGATGGGAGTCCAGGAGTTGCCAGGAGTGCAGCTGGGACTGGGTGGGTGTCCTCCCCCAGGTCGTTGCAAATTCTTTGCAAAGTGCAGGGTAGGGACTAGAAGACTAGAGAGGTGGCGGCCCCGACCTCTCTGTGCACTGAGGCCGGCTCTGGACTGGAGTCCCCTGGGGAGAGAGAAGTGGAGCAGGCTCCACACCCCTTGAAGATGTGTCCCTGGGTGAGGGGAGCCGATGGGACCCCAAAGGTGCGTATTGCAGACTGGACACAGACAGGAGGCGAGCCAGGAGAAAGCCCTGAGAGGCTGCCTGGAGGCAGTGGCCTGGCCAACAAGCAGGACACAGGGCTTGTACTTGGGGAAGCAGAGCCCCACCCACAGCTTCCCCCACTAGCCCCTTGGTGGTGAGGGGTGCCCTTGCCCTGAGTCTCAGCACCCCTGCAGTGTACCCACTGCCTGCCAGGGAAGGCAACTCTGTCTCAGGGCTGCAGGTTTGTTCTCATTCAAGTTCAACTCCTGCTGCCCCACAAGCCCCAGGAAATTCTGGAAGGAAGCACCCACAGTCAGCCTGAGGGGGGTGTGGAGCTGGTCGATGCTCTGGAGGAGAGCAGGTCACCAGGCAACCACACACACACACACAGCCACACATGCAAGTCTGTGCACACATGTAGATACAGACCCACATGCAGACACATACATGCCAAAGACACACACAGGTACAAACACTGAAAGACATAGAAAGATTAACACCACACACACACACACATAGGCACACACTTTCCATCAGACCTGGGTGAAGCAGCTGCGTCGTGAGGAGGTGAGCTCCCTGTCTCTGAAGGTGTGCAAGCGTCCAAGGCTACCACCCAGAAGAAGATCCAAACTGGACACCTGTAGGGGGAGGCCTTGTTGGCCACGCCAGAACACATGCAGACCCCTGGCAGCCTGGGAGCAGAGCCTTATGGGACCTGTGAGAGCTCAGCCAGGGTCAGCGAGAGCAGCACCGGCCAGACTCAGACCTTCTGGACTCCTCGCCTGCCTCCGGCACATGCTGGCTGTGTGACCTGTGTCCGGCCCACTGCCCTCTCTGGTCGCCGAGGGCAGGGAGGGGCAGGGTCTTTCTGGCCTTGCACAGCTGTGCAGGGGTCACCCAGGAGACAGAATAAAGCTCCCAGTACAGCTCTCGGGTGGTCTCTGTCCTCGGCCATGGACCACCGGCCTCCAACTCCCATGGGACCTTCTCCCTCCACAGGGATAAAGGTGGACACTCAGCAGGGAGTAGGAGCTGGATCCTTCTCCCCAGGACGCTGGGGCTGCCAAGCTGGGCAGGCAAGTCCCCAAGGGCTGGACATCCATTAGGTCTCCTTTAGGGCACAGGCAGGGCTGAGCCGGGACTGCCACATCAGGGAATCCCATGTACTGGTATCCAGGTCTGGTAAAAGACACACAGATGACTCTGCAATGAGTTCACCCAGTGTTTGCCCTCCATCCCCACCCCTGGGCTGAATGCCGCTGGTATGTTGGTCAGTCTGTGCACCTGCTCCATGCCTGGTGGGTCCTCATCGCTGATTCAGCTCATTGAGGAGGCCTTTGTGGCCTTTGCCCAACAGCAGGTGTAAGCTGGAGGCAGAGAGGATCATGAGGACACTGGGACCGCCCGAAGAGGTCGCACAAGCTGGCAGGGTCACACCTGCTGTCCAGAAACTGGCTGAGACCTGATCTGACACAGAGCCTCAACTTACCTTCCCACTGTCTGCCATGTTCACTCTGGGCAGCAGGGGGCGCCCGCCGCACACAGATGAGCTGCTCCACACTGAGCTAGTCAGAATACCCAGGGCATGGAGGGGGTACCCACCAGTACAGCCCTGTCCTCGCGAGCATCCTGGAGGGGGAAGTGCCTGGTCCACTGGGAGCCTGCCAGGGCCACAGAGGCACCAGCAGCCACCCCTGCCCAGCCTGGAGTCAGAAGCCCTCGCCGCCCTGGACAGGCAGGGAACCCACACAATCTGCATCCTCTCTCTAGATGTGGCTTCCTCTTGAGAGTTTGGGCCAGGTGTGTTCCCAACACAAACCTTGTATAGCGCAAACAGCTCAGTTCCAGCCCTGGGAGAGATGGGGCTGGGGGTGGGCATGGCAGTGGCTGCAGCAGCTGAGGGTCAGGGACCACAAAAGCCATTTACTGTGACAGACCACAGGAAGAACAGCCCCAAGAGCGAGAGCCACCCCAAGGGCCTGGGTTCAAGGCCCAGTTCTGAGCTTCAGCTTTCCCATCTCCCTTCATTAGATAAATGCAAAGTGCTGAGAAAACGGCACTGGGCAGCTACTCAGGGTTATGTGGTGGGTTGCAAAAAACATATATTTTTTTTTCTTAACAAGTATAGCTCTTACCATTACACAGTGACTGAACCCTTGTGGGGCTACAGAGCAGGCCAGGACCATCCGAGAAGCAAAGAAGATTCACTGTGGGGATGGGTGAGAACAAGGGAGGGAGTGTGTGAAATCTGGGAAGGCTTCTTGGAAGAGGCATCTGCAAAGAATGAGCCAAGATGCAAAAGGCAGTGGGAGGCAGGACAAGGCTAGATATTTCTGCAGCTCCCTAAGGCTCCAAGCACAGTCCCCAACAGGCCAAGAGGCTGCCAGGTGAAGGGAGGTCGGGCCTGGGAGGGGCTGAACCAGGAGCGTGGGCGGTGTTCTGCCCATATAAGGCTCAGGGTGGGGAGAGGGGTCTGCCATGCCATGAAGCTGCTGAGCAGAGAGCCACTCCAGCATGGAGGGGGAGAGGGCAGGGGCCACTGAGAAGGCAGGAGGACCCTTTCGAGAGGGTCCCCCTCGATGCAGAGGCGTGGTACCCAGAGCTGGCAGACAGGGCCCCATGCCTGGCGAGCAGGGGGTAGGCAGCCTGGAGCACCACACAGGCGTGAGAGGTCTAGAGAAATTGATTTAATAGCAACGGTGAAAGGAGCTAAATGTGTTTGCCAGCTCTGCGATGACTCAGGCCTTCCCCCCCCCACCCGCCCTCCCTCGGTTCGCCACAACACAGGCATCAAAGAACCCATGCCAGGAGGGGCTCCTCGCATGGGGAGGGAGTGTGGGGGGAGCAGCTCCGGGCCGGAGGGGCCACCCCGGGCCAGGGCTGGGACCTAAAGCCTTGCCTCCCAGCGTACCACAGCCCTCAGGGGCCGAAGCATGAAACCTCAGAGAATGACAGACTGGGGGTGGCAGTCCCTGCCTTGCCCCACACTGTGATGTGCTCATGGACAAGCAGCTGCCTCTCTGGACCACGAGGATGCTCCCTCCAACCTCCTGAAAGCCCCCCCCAGCAGAGGGAGGACAGGGTGGAGGCTGTGGGGACGGAGGCAGGATGATGGAGAGCAGCAGGGCGTGCAGGCCAGGACAGAGCAGGGAGGCCAAGAGAACCAACTTCTCCCAGCAAGCAGTGCTGGGGGTGGGGAGACTGTGGGGTAACTGGGGCTGTGGGGAGGCAGGGCAGATGCCTATGGGGCACTGGGGAAGGGGAAGGGCATTGCTGGTGGGGCCCACACCTGCAGCCTGACATATTTGGGTGAACCCAGCACTCTGCATCGAATGGAGGTGAGGGCCAGACCGGCTGTCGGTGCCAGGAGTGAGGAGTTGTAGAGGCGTTCCCAGCACAGGAACCCCATGAGAGGAAGAAGCAGGCTGGAGGAGCTCCAGGCCTGATGTCTGTGGGAGGATGAGGGGGCGCTGTGGCCACTCTAGTCCTTTGGGGAGGCAGTGAGAACAAGGGTTCTGCACAGAACCCTCCCAATCTGCCCAGGAGCATCAGAAGTCCTCCTCCTGCAGGAAGCCCTCCCTGACCACCCGGCCACCCAGCTGTGTGCACAGGCATGCTGGCCCCAGCCTCCCGAGTCCCAGGTGGCTGCAGTCTACTTTGGGCTGAGTGGCTTTGTGGTGTGGGCAGCGGGACCCCGGAGAGCCCAGCCCCCTCCTTTCTACCTCCAGGCTTCCACCCAGGGATCCCTATCTGGGAACACCTGAACCTGCAAACTCATGCCCTCCTCCCTTCAGGGCAGACATCGCAGACAACCCTCCAGGAGGAACACGAAGGTGCCCGCAAGTTATGAAATATGCAAGGGATCCTCAAGAAGTCTAAGGAAAATGCATATGATGAAAAAGAAAACTGTGCATGGATTCCAACTTTTTTTTTTCCCTCCAAAATAACTTTATTTTTCTATGACTTTCACTTAACTGTGAACTTGGGACCTACTATGCCCACTCAACAGGTGGAGCTGTGGAGGCCCAGAGTGGGTGTGGCTTGTGGAGGCGGGATGGGTGTGGCTTGTGGAGGCCCAGAGTGGGTGTGGCTTGTGGAGGGTCATGACCAGGAGGTCGCACCAGATCTAGCAATGGCACAGGTGGGTGGGGGGACCCAGCCTAGCAGACCACTTGACAATGAGGCCTTAGCTGTCTCCCTTGACCCCTTGAACTCGAGTTCAAGTCCCTTTCTCTCACCCCCAGACCATCTTCATTTAATGAAGAAGAGCTGGTGAGGACAAAGAAGTAACTTTTTTTTTAAATAAAATGCCCCCTATTAAAAATATATACTTAAAATGCACTCAAGGTGCCCCAAGAATGACACTGCATCGCCCTGGACACCTGTGTGTCTGCAGTGACGCTGCAAATTTGGGGCGCTTCAGAGCACGCGCCCAGGGGAAATGGCATTACAATTCGAGGGCATGTGGCTGCAAAAAGTGTTAACCAAGAGGTTTGTTTGTTTTTCAAAATATACTTTTATTTTTCACTAACTTCCCGAAGACCCCTCCCATGGTCTGCATCTGATTGAATAACTGGGAGCTCGTTGTCGCCCATGGGCTCCAACGTGGCAGGTTAGGGTATGCCATGGTCTCAGACAATCCCAAGGCTCCATCCAGTGCATGGCCGGAAGGCGAGGGGGGCAGAGGGACATTAACCAGCCATTCAAGGCCTCAGGCTGAGAAAGGGCTGCGCCAAGCAGTGCCAGGGTGGGACACTAGCTAAATGAGGGGCCAGCCTGCCTGCAGGGGAGGAGGGCAGCCATCCTACCACCTGTCCAACAGGAAACCCCACAGGGTCAGGCCTGAGGGGGATCCCTATAGAAACCAGGACGGCAGTGCTGACCCTGGGTCATCAATCTCCCTCAGCCTCAACCACCTGGGTTTCCACAAACCGAACATTCTTTGGCATGAGCCGATGGAATGGCAGTTCAGCTAAGGCAGCTTGCTTGCTTCCGGTGCTGGATTCCATCAACTCCGTGTTTTTTAAACATTGGTTCTATGGATTAGAATTTCCATTCCCTCTGGACCCGGGTGGGGTTGAAGCAGTGTTGTCACTCACTTTTCTCTCCCTTTGGTCTGGCACAGAGGCAAACCTCTGTTGCCAGGGTTGTGCCCAGGCTGCTGCCAGCCTGTCTCGCCTGGATGGTGGCAGGTGGGAGGCCGCTGGCCCCTTCTGGTTACTCAAGTCAGGAACTAGGAGAGGGGGGTCGGGCAGCCAGGGCTGGGGCGGGGGTGTAGAGACAGGTGCAAGGGTCACCTCCTAGCCATTCCAGCAGGATGTCTCCTCCACCACGTGAGCTGTGCGTCTCTGAGTCTGTTTTCTCATCTATAGAATGGACGCAGTAAGGCACACACCGATGCTAAGATGTCGACAGTTCAACAGTCACCACCGTGGATATGCAACAAATGGATTTATTCTGTCCAGTTCCAATCTAAATGCAGTGGCCTGAGTCCTAACCCTCTCTTGTTTGGACTAGACATGCCCAGCCGGCAGGTACGGGCTTCCAAGTCCCCAGGACTCAATAGAAAAAAATCCTAGAACCTATGAGCCCCACTTTCCCGGGAACAGGCTCCTGAAATTGACACTAGCTCCTCCTCCCACTGCAGCCTAGCCCAAGCAGGCCTGTGCTGGAACAGGACCTTCCGGGCTCCAGGCGAGGAGTGGCCACCTCCGGTCCGGTCCAGACCGGGGCAAGCGGTGCAGCCCACCCTCCAACCCCCGCCACGCCTCTCCTTGGGCTGGCCGAGCAGGTCTGGGCCCTGAGGGTTCCGCGCCTCTGCTGCCACCGCCTAGCCGCACACACCTCCCCGCAAGCGAGCCAGTGAGCTCACCGCCCCGTGCACTGCCGGGCCTGATCTTCACAATAATCAGCCATGGATCTCCGGAAAAGACCAGCGCGCGGGAGGACGCCGCCAGCCCCGCGTCAGGGAAGCTGGGGCGGGCGGGTGGCCGGCTGGGGGCCTCCTGCCCACCTGCTCCCCGTAGCCGCCCTACTGGTAGGGCGCTTAGCTTATAAAAGCTTTTGAAAAGCTATCCATGCGCGCTGAGTGCAGGGAGACACCCAGGCGCTTCTTGGCCATAGGGAGGGAGACAGCGGGAGAGAGGAGGTGGGGAGGTGGAGAGATGGGGTTGGGAAATAGGAAGGGAAACTGAGGCAACCTGCCCTCT